CATGGTAGAGGCCCTCTGAATATTGGATTCAAGGAGAATGGATGAAATGGCCCCAGCACCCAACTCAGCATTGTCGAAGAATGAATCTTCATCAGTCTCTTGGCTCTCTCTCATTTTGACTTTGGGACTCCGGAGAGGCAGTTGGGATGGTTGCTCAGGTGATCTGGGGGGTGCAAAGTCTGGCTTGATTCCAGTAATCAGCCTCAATGCTCCCTCAACCTCAGAAGAGGTGGGGGAAGCCAGCCTTGACTCGGAAGTCTTTCGGGGGGCAAACTGGGCCCCTTGAAGAGGAGAAGGGGCCAGGGATTGAGATGAGGGAGTCTGTCCTTCCTTGCTCAAGGCAGGAGAAGAGGGCACTCCCAGCTTCTGCACTTTAGCTTTGTCAACGGGGCTGCTTCCATAGTTGGTATCGGCCTTCCGTTTGCCACTTTTCTTACTCTTCTTCAGTAGGTCAACTTTAGCCTGGAGTTCCTCAGAGGTAAATTTCATTATGGAGGAGCTTGGAAGATCTGGACCGAGCAAGTTAAACAGGAGAGACAAAAAAGAAGGGAAGGCAAGGAAACCAACTCAGAAAGTGTTACCTTCTATGTCTTCAGGCCTAACAACCGAGATAGGGAGCGGAGCTTCTATCGATACCTCAGGAGGACTGAATCCCTGTGTTACTAAGACCCAGGGCTTGATGAGCTCGGAGTACTTCTCTGGATGACACTTCTCCAACTTTCGCTTTACCCTCTCGTCCTCAACACTAAGCTCTAGTCGAATGCCTGAAAAGCAACACAAAGAGAGCAAAGGTTAAAAAGGCGACTCAACGATTCCAAAACCATCAATCAGTTCGAGCAAGGGCTCACCTAAGTTATCAGGGGCGGACCAAGTTCTAGGGATACGCAGAGTATCAGTCCTGTCAGCAGGGTTGTACTCCCAGTTGGTGCCTCCAACAAAAAAGAATTGTTTCTTGCAACTTTTATGGGAGCTCGGAAGGTGAGTAATGATCTGCCTAGCCGTGGTTCGCTTGGAGATGTATAAGAAACCCTCTGATGAGGTGAGCTTGACATTAAAAAGATCCACAAGCAAGGAAAGACTGGGGACCCTAAGTCCATGAATCTTGAATAAAACAAGAAGACCCACAAGTACACCCCAAAAATTAGGGGAGAGCTAAACAGGGCAAACATTGAAGTATTGCAAAACACTCTTGATGAAGGGATGCATAGGAAAGCGAAGGCCATTCTCAAAAGCGGCCGCAAAGAAACATACTCTCTTGTGAACTTGGGCAACGTATGGGGTGTATTTATCTAGACACCAGGGCTGGACACCAGGAGGAAAACCGTAATGAGCACTGAGAATTCTCACATGAGAAGAGTCAACCTCATTAGGTCCTACGAGCTTAGCATGCCTAAAGGTAGCCCTTGTGCCCGCTGCGTTGTCAGAGACTCCTATCCCACTCAACTTGCCTTTACCTTTGTTAGGATTAGGGGGCACAGAAGAAGACGATGCAGATGGTTCCTCAGTATTTTCCTCGGCATCGATAGCATCCACATCGGGAAAATTGTCGATTTCCTCGCCTACATCCCCTAAATCAATGTCCTCTTTGGCAGACCTTTTCCCCAAGAGAGAAGCAGAGGAGCGTGTAACTCTGGAAGGAGTAGACATGACTAGACCGGAGAAAGGTAAACTGAAAGAACGGTAGAGAGGAGGAATATTGATTAAGCACTCCCTAATAACCCTAGGGTCAGCGCAGTAGCTTCCAACAGCAAGGATTCGCACGATAGAAGACCAGTCCACAAAGTGGGGGAGAGGAGACAAGCAGTAATTTCGATTCCAAAAGTAAAAGAACTGAAAGGCCCAAAAATGCAATGGCCATCTCGAATTTGAGAGATCCAGAACGAGGAAAGATGAAAAAGGGACAAAAGGGCGTACTTAGGTGGGAAAGAGCGACGAACAGCAGCCTAGAGCGAAATGGAAGAAAGAGGGCAATGTGAATCTTCAAATCGAACCCACAGAACTCAATCTTGAACGAGGAATTAGAGAATTCCAAACCAGAAAGCCAAGAAATTGTAAGAAGAGAGAAGCAACAGAGAAGTTAAACAGTGGAATAGGGCGGTTCAGATAGTCGTTTGAGCATTTAAAGCTTGAGAGACGTTGACTGAAATGTGCACGGGAAACGAGGAAGCCATGATTGCTGAAAACCGTCAAAAAGGGCTAACTCACGTGCAGGCCAAGGTCAGCCACGTGCAGATCCTGCTCGGTTTAAAAAACAGCTCAACCCCTGCCCAAGTCCGTTTGAACCAGGGGCTGTGGTACAACAGATGATACCTCAAACAAGCCCTAACTGTGAGGTCAGGTCAGGAGGTCAGGAAAGACACGAGGAACTCAGAGAACCAGGGGTGGAGCTCCCCTTGGGGAGATTGTAGCTGAACCGACCAGGAAACAGCTGGACGACTGTGGAAATTGGGCCCCATGCATGAAACTCTCAACCAACCAAGATTCTCTCCTAAAATCAAGGGGATCCCATGAATAATGGGCAAAGATCTCGGCTGAAATCTCACGGAATAGGGGGCAGCCTTATAAATACTATGTAACGCCTCATCGCGAGGCAGGGAGAAAAAAAAGAAGAACCCTAATCGGATTGTGCATTGTCTTGTATTACATTTAAATAATCAATAGAGAAGAAAAGGAGCAAGAGCCTCCATTTGAGAGTGGATTAGCCGAGCTTTAGAGCCGGTGAACCACTATATTCCAACTGTACAAATTCCCCTATTTCCTAAGAAACACTTCATCACTGTCATTACGACGTTGACACCCCAACTTCACCATTGGTCCCACGCACTCTATTCACTCACATCAGTTTGGCACCATCAAACACCATATAAACTGCTGTTGAAATATGTCAGATGATACATCTGGAAGAACATTTATTCTATTCTAATTTTTGGGATTTTATTTGCTTATCCATTTGGATGTTAGTAACTGCCGTGAAAAGTGAAATGGTGAGTTTTACACAAGATAGAGTCTCTGGGGATGGATAATGAGCTTAGGGAGTATATGTCGAGGTTTTTTTTCGTCTTTTTCTCTGAATCAACCTGAAAGAAAGGGAACATTCTGCACATGGGGACCAAAAATCATGACAAATAATTCAATTCAAGCTGTAGAGCTTATCTGTGTTTTGTTGACAGATCCAAAGAAGTTTGTCGTCAACTCGTCCAATCCATAGTCCATATTACCCAGTAAAACTGATATTTCGGATGTTTTTAGCTTGATGATTGATCCAAGCAAGTATTGCCGTTACCATTCAGAATTTGGCAGGAAAAAATCCATTTCCACTTCCACTCTTTTTTCTCATTTGAAGAAATTTAACAGCTTTGCATGCTACTTATGTGTTTCACTTTCATATTGACCATCTTCTCATATTATATTCAGCTAGTTATCTTTCAGGATCTTATGTAAAATTCATGTACAGTTAGCCTTTGTCAACCTTTGTACTTTCCTTTCATGGTTGTCCAAATTAGCCTATTTTTGTGAAGTGAGGCACTGCTAAGAGTCTTTCATTCACCAGCTGGGTTACAGTTCACGAGGTCTTATATGACAATACATGTGTATCCCTGTTTGCAGCTGTTGACTTTCTTTAGAATATAAATAAAGCATATATATCTTTTTGTCACATGATATTTTTCTTTCATTTCTTTTCTTACACTGCTTATATTTTTGGGTAGTTAATTGTTTAAGTAATCTTGGTTTTCTCGTCTTTCAGAAAGTTAAGCGTCAAGAACTGTCTGAGGATGACTACTTCTCCAAGAACAACGAATTTGCTACCTGGCTGAAAGAAGAGAAAAATTTGTTTTTCTCAGATCTTTCGTCTGAGTCATAGTTTGTCAAAGACTGGAACAACCAAAAGCTTGAATCCCAGTACTATGAGGGCATTTCAACTGGGCCACGCACATCTCATACGTGGAAAATTAAACAGTAGCGGAGTCCTCAAACTTATTGTAGTTCTTAGGTTTTGTTGTGGCTTCTGTATCTACTGATCTACAGTCATTTCCTATGAGAAGTATTAGGAAAATTAACATCATCCCCTCACCCCTTGTTGTTTTTCACCTTTTATTTTTTGTTACATAGTAAGCTAGTTGGTTTGGTTGTAGTGAATAGTTGAGAATTTCTAGAGAAGTATTAGAAAAATTGCATGCATGAGATTACCATGTATTCATGTCAAAACTTTGATGCCCGATTGATTTAGCACTCATACGAGTCACACCCAATAAAGAAAAGGGTGCCCCCCCCGGGGGGGGGGGGGGGGGGGGGGGGGGTGATGATTTAGCTCTACTTGGTATGTGGGGGTGTCACATCATTTTAGACACTATTTATTTTCAAAATTTGATCAATGTTTTATTTTGATTTATTTTATTATAATAATTTGCTGCCTTGGAGGGAGTGTATTTGTTGTTCTAGTTCCATTTTTATACAGTCTTTTCACTTAATAAAAAATCATACACGTACAAGTGTAAATTCACTTATAAATAATGAATTGTACTTGAATTGATAATAGGTGATTTATTAAAGAAAATCGTCTAAAATGTATCGAGCATGTGTCATAATGAAAAATCTAGTTCAAAAAGACTGCAATGATGGATTTTTATCCTCAATAATGCATCAAAACACCATTTGCATGCTCCAAAAAGCAGTCTAATCTAAGCTCTGTTTTGTTAAAAAGATTATGAATGCTAAAAAAAAAATGCTGTTGCCTCTCAATATCATTGTTACGGAATCACTGCTCATCACAAAGTCACAGCATAACACTGCCGATAGAAACATGCAGCGACCAAAATGTGGCAGCCAGAATGGCCATTACTGTACCATACATATTCCCAAACTTTAATTTAAAAGTAAAAGAGCCAATCTGGCTATAGTACCCAATCCACTCAACTTCGTTTTAAGACTAAAAGAGGAGCCGCAGAGGCATAGGCCATCTAAAACAGTTTTGATATCAGGAAAGGAACATCAGTAGGCTTTCATGATACAGAGCATTTTATAAGAGATGAAATCAGGGCAAACTGAATCCGGTAAGTTTTAGTTTTCCCAATCCCTTCGCTAAAAGACAAACTACTCAACTTCCAGTAGGTAATCCTCGATTTCCGCTGGTTGCCGCTGGTGTCAGTACTCTGCAACATAACAATTCACCAAGATTATCAAGCAACTCATCAAAATGTCCATACGAGCGCAATCAGGTACGAGGAAAACAGGAAACTTGCCTGAATTTTCGGTCAGTACCAATTATGCTAATCTCAATATTTTTGCTAGATATTTGTCCTTCAAATCTGGGACAGAAACACAAAAGTACATGTTATTAAGAGTCGATCTAAACAGTCAAAAAGAAGAAATTTTACTAGCCAAAACTTCACTAGTAGACATTTCTGAGTGCCATCAAATATTCAAAAGCGTACTTCCCCATGTTCACATGTACAACAAGACGGTAGTAAGAGGAGATGATCAGACAAGCTCAAGCTTACATAATTATGAGACTTAGTTTGAGGCTTTTGATATGTCTTATTTTTTCAATGTACCGAAAAAAAAAATTAATTATGAGACTTCAGAGATTACAGTTTTTGCCCAAACTAAAACAGTTTTTTTTTCAAAATAATTTCCAATCTAACAATGCTATAGTTGCCATATGAGCAATTTTTATTTGGAAAGTGTTTTGACACGTAAGAACTTAAATACATTTCCCCATAAAAACGTCACTTTCCCGCTGCACTCCCTCTCCTCTATTTATTTGATATTATGGATGACGGGTTATAGAGAGACCGTTTCATTTTTGTAGGTTGGTCTGGTCTATTGTTTTTTCATTGTGCCTATTTTGCTTTAGGGGTTGGTTCACAAGTACAACTTTTATAACTTTATGGTATACTCACGGATTGGTCAGTTCTTTTTTGGAAGCCTGTAATTTCTTAACTGCCCGTTTCTACTCTTGCGAATAGTTTTAGCACATTCTTTATTATCTAAATTAGTTGTTTACCCCTCAAAAGAACTTGTTATTGTGTTGAGAATTTTAAACAAAAATTAAACCTGGCAATCACTTTCCAAGACAACTAGAAGTGGCAAAAAAAAAACATTCGTGGGATATGAGGCACAAAGTACTAAAGCTATGAGACCAAAAATGGTTTGCTGGGATACTGTATTGGAGTTGATGAGAAAATAACAGAGGAATCTTCAATGTCTATATGAGGTTTACTATGGAGTATGGGCAAATGATTTAGTTCTTGAGTCAAACATTGTCCAAATATATTTCTTCACAAGGCAACTAGATAATTAAAATTGGAATTACTTTCACAGTAGTGTTAGATTGGGAATTATTTAGAAGATGGTGTTAGTTTGAGCAAAATCTATCAGCAACTAATTTTAGACTGAAAAGTCGTAAAGGATTTTTTTTTTTTTTTTGATTTCTACTCATGCAGTAAAGCAACTAAAATAAGTTTTCCCTCTTCCAAGAAAAATCAGAGAGAACTACTGATACCACCTGATGGAAGGCGAAAAAATTACTAACAACCCCGTTGCTCCGAATTGCAATCACATGGAGAATATCTGCTTTCCCGTCCTTCAGTGTCAAAATAGCAGTGTGCACAGCATTGTTCAGTTCCATATCATCTGTCTACCTGCAAGAAACATTAACTTGATCAAAACTGCTAAATTTTGAACAGAAATGAAAGGTCCAAAAAATTCAGCAGGATTTGAAATCCTTAGAACCAAGTAAACATTAACCCAGTTCAGTAGCACCATTAGAGCCTAGCAAAAATCGCAAAAAAAAAAAAAAAAAAAAAAAAAAAACCCCAAAGAAAAGAACTCAACTCCACAGAATGCATGTTGTAACATATGTAATAAGACAACATTGCCAATTAACCCAATGGTGGATATAATAGGTGAGCTTGGAATATAGTTTAATCCTTTTACAAACTGAAACTAACGAATGATCCACCAGAAAAACGATAGTAGAGAAATTTGAAGAGCATTCACATCTTTTCAAGAAATGTTTTTGCATTAGACACATTCTTTTCCATGGCTGAAGCTTTCCAGGACAAGTATGAACCTGATAAATCCACCTGCAGAATGAAAATCAACAGAGCTATTGGTGAAGTAATCTTGAAAATTATTCTAGGCAACTTAGAAAAACAAAATAAATCTTCCAGGACTAATATTCATAAAATTAGAACTACTTATAAGAAGAATGAACTTTGTACAGCATCAAGGACCGAATTAAACCCGCAGAGGTCATCAAAAAATTACAAACTACTTTATCCCAAGCCATGTATCGAGGTTAACTGAGCCAGACTTTCACAAGCTTGTGTTAACTGCGTACTCGTGCAGAACAGCTGCTATGTGGGTACAGCAGGGATATTGTGCTGTAAATGGGAAAAAAAACAGTTTCAACCCTATTCAGGTTTCCGATAATAATGCAATGGCTGATGGCACCTCCCCCTCCCAAGAAAATTAAGCACATAAATTAATAAATAATTTCTTTCACAAGTGTGGTGACTCTGGGCACTCCTCATTTTTGTAATTTTTCCACCAAAATAATTTATCCAATATTAAAACTTGTTTCTTACAAAATTTACTAATATTAACCAAAAGAAAAGGTAGGAATACTAACCTCTTTGAATGGTAGATCCATGAAGCTTTTTACAAGAGTGAGATTTTTTTGAGAATGAGTTTATGAGAGAAAAAAAAGGTAAAGAGAGAGGGGGAGAGAGAGAAAGATAAGAGTAACCTGACCACCCCTTCTGTTTGGTTTTCGATTCTAGCAAATACAGGTTTTGGTTTATCCATAACCTAACCACCCTTTAGTCCACCCTATTTGGTTTCAATCTGCAATTGTAAGCAAGCAATTTAGAAATTTTTTAGTTAAGGTTATACATAAGATTGCCTTGCAAATATACATGGCTAGGAGAGAGAGGGAGAGAGAGAGTGAGAGAGAGACCCATGTAGCAGCATTGAATTGGTCCTCCAAATTGCCAAGCTGGGTATATATTCTCAAACATAAGCTTGAAAGATCTAGTGTACCCAAGATTGGTTTGTATGCATAAAAGGGCTACTCCACTCATTGTCAATTAGTTTTGACTTGAATGCAGTAACATTGTATCAGAGTAAGAAATCACGTGTTCAAATCTCTCTGCCACACTGATTATAAAAAATTTTCACGTGTTAGTACCAAAATCTAACCTCAATGTGAGAGTGTTAAAAAAACAAGAGTTACAACTTGTTGAAGAGGTCGGACATGCAGGGGGCTTAAGAGATCCTAAATCACTTTCCACGAACCTTCCCCCATGATATCTAAAGCACCTTATCTAATGCACTCCCCTCACCATCCATACTCTCCTGTCCTGCCAGAGGTGTCTCTTTCTTCAAAGTTGATGTCGTGGAAGCTATGCATTGTTTGCATTCATGGCACAAATTCTTGTAATCCTAGAGGTTTATTTGCCCCTATAAATCTAGTCGTGCTTTATTTCTTTTGTTAATGAAGGTCGAAAGCACACTCAATCGTAACTTATTTGTATTATATCCCACATTCTATAGTAATGTGTAAAATCCCCAATGAACTAATTCTCAATTGTAATTCCAATTAAGTTAGCATTCTCTTCGGTACGTGACATCTGAGTTTTTTCTATTAAGGCATTTATATTGTCCTCTTTCTTCCTTTTTTACATGCTTTGAAATAACACTTAATTTCCCATTCATTACAACCTTTATATGTAATGAACTCCTAGTTAGAATTACACTTCTTAGGTGATTCATGTAGAACTCTAATTGCATATTAAAAATCATATTGAATGCATCATTTTTCAGAACCCGTCACTATCTATGCAGAAAAATTATTCATTGGTTTTTGTCATAAGATTGTTATAAGGATACATGCAATAGGCTAAATCACAAAAGACACAAAATATAAAAAGTATAATCGTCCCTCAAATTAGTTTCTTTATTTTTCATTTTGGGCAGTTCATGGAGTAGAATATGCATTTGGTGCATATGAGCATCCAACGACGGGGATAATTGAAGTGGAACCAAAGAAGTCAGGGTTAAGAAAAGATGTTCCAAAGTCCACATGTGTTGTAAATTGACTGGGATAAAATTATCCACGTCTATAATAATCTTATATAAAGACCAAATTCTCTTGTAATCAAATTCACAATGTTTGTGATCTCTAAAACATATATATTAGAAGTGTAATAGTACTGATGGGACATTTTTTAGAATCAACAGGGAGCTGACACATGTCCTCGGCTTGGTTGACATGGATACACCACTGACTAACAGGTGGCCTCAACGTTGGTTCCCCTTGGAACCCCCTGAAAGTGACACGTATCCTCGGCGCATACCTCCCTCGGAGCCTTCCACGTCTAACACATGTCCTTGGCATGTGTCTTCCTCGAAATTCTCTGCATCTGACGCATGTCCTCGACATGAATCTCTCTTGGGAACCTCCTTTATCTTGACATGTGTCTTCAGCATCAGGGACCCTCTGAGCGTTGGTATGATGACACGTGTCCTCAGCCTACCTAACGCCCCGAGGTCCCCTACTAGACACGTCACCTCGGCTCCAGAACTGCTGAGATATGGATGATGGATTGACGGTTATCATTATTTGGAGTTAAAATTAGTCAATAATCATTGACTTACGTTCCCAAAGTCTTCACAATGGTAGAAAGAGTAGGTTAATTATCAATGATAGTGATACACATGGTACAAAGCACAGAATTGGGGGCCAATGGGCAAAGGTGTCCCTATTCGTGCGCCATCACAAAGAGGTATTAAATGACCGTTCAAAAGGATGAGACACATTTATTATTAGGCGGACTATGGGAGGAGTGCATTAAATGCTCGGGCATCCGAGCATTAAATGTAGAGACTTCTTTTTGGGTGACAAGGAAGGTGCTCTGCCCTAGGACTGTGCTACACATGCTGTCTTCCAAAGGGGCCAATGAGGGGATTCCAAACCAAGGGACCCATCTGTCCAGAATGATTACCTCCATGGAGGTATAAATAGCTCTCACAAATGCAAAACAAAGTATGAAAATCCCACCAAAGCAATAGAACAGTGTTTTTCCTCTCCCCTCTCTCACATATTGACTTGATCGTCGGAGGGGTCATGCAAGAAAATATTCTGATGCCCTTCTAACCTTTCTTTTTGAGTGGCAGAGTTCATCTTGGTATGTTTGGTATGTTGGGATAGTTCATACAGCTAGAAAAGTAATTCATTATCACTCCTTACATCGTTTCTCACTTTTGTTTATCACGGGATCATCGAATTTCCTGGTAGGACTCGTGTTCACCAAGAGAGAGATCTATGCATTCGTTTATTGTGCGTAAATCACCGTGCGCAAGTACAATACATACACTCCTAGAGATTGTCATCACCATATACATCCAACTTTATCGTCTATAATACCATTATTTTTTAAATTTCAAAAACAACCCAGTGGCATTTCAACAAACACATTGCAGGCACAAAAAAAAAAATGGAATGAAAGTGTAAAAAAAATCCTTTCATTGTTTTCCAACCAACAAATGAACAAAGTTAGAATGAGAGAGTACCCTAATAATTGGTAGAGAGACAGTGAAGGAGTGAAGAAGTAACTGTAGCCAAAAATTTAACAAAATAATAAACTTCAAAACAAAAAAATTTCAATAAATAAAATATTTTACTGCAATACTCCAATTTATGTAGTGTCTCACAAATCTATGCATGTGAGTCTACAACGTGAAATTAAAGATACTGTAGACTACTTGACGATCTGAATGTCTCGGGTCTCACCATGGAATTACAATTGCTAAGGTGAAAAATTAAGTTGTGCTTTGGAGCTAATAAATTCTTCTATTGTGCTTTGAGTATATCAGAAGAATCCAATATGTAATTAAAACAACAATCCATAGACCTAGTTAATAAGATTCAAGAAGGTACTAATATGTAATGTCCCATCAGGAACTTGCTGGAGAGTGCGAGAGAGAGCAAAAGGTTATTGAGAGGCGACAAAGAGGAGGGGAGGAGATGGGTGATTAAATATCAGGAAGGTATGTTATTAAAGTTGGGAGACAAAACTTGAAATGGTGGAGCCGATTAACATTCAGTAACGTAGATATTGCAGTTGGAGCAGTAGGTTATGAGAGGTTAGGATAAAGGGGCATTAGGTGATTTATTAAGGTCATTTTAGTCAATTAAATTTTTTTCATAAATTCTCATATTAGGTGATTTATTAGGTGTTTGTAGTTGTGAAAACCTTTACACTCCCGTTGTTGTTCTATGTCATGTTACTTGAATACCATCTATTGAACTTGTGACAATGGTGATGACCACCATCAAAGCCGCCGAGATCACATACTTAGTTCAGATCCTTTGAAAACATTTATGAATCTCCCACCAAACTCTTTTGCGACAGTGGTGATGACCATATCTGAGCTGATGTCTCTACCTTTGAACCACCAACACCTTCTTTTGTTGATCGCCATACATGGATGAAGACTCCAAGGCTATGAAGATGGTATATTCTAGGCAACGTTGTGGTGGAACTGTGATTATCTTTGCTAAATTCATAGGATTTTGAGTTATGTTTGTAAAATGAATTTGGGATTTGGTAGAGGCAGTGGAGCTGTCATTCTGTTTGCTAAATTGATAAGGTTTGAGTAAATTTTGTAGAATGAATTTGGGATTGGGTTTTGAATTGCAAATTTGTAGTGGTTGACATTTTGATATGTGAATAAGATTTGATTTGGGGTTTTGATTTTTGAATTGGTGGGTGATGGGACATTATGTGGCTTGTCAATAATTATGTGACACGTGGTTGGAGACAACTGTTGAGGCACGTGTAAATCAATTGACAGGTCATGCCGAACAAGTGGAACACTCAAGACCTTGCACTACTCCTGTTGCCAGGTATTAAATACGACAAGAAAGGTCATTAATGGGGGCCATAACGAAATGATAGATAATTAATGATTGTCCAATCCTCGAAAAATGTAGGAGACAGTCATCATTGCCTTGCATTAATGTCAGCTAGGACCAAGGAGGAGCCTTCGAGAGCTCCCGAGGGGACCTAGCAGCTATTCATTATGTCTTGGTCATAGGGTTTGAGTATTTTCCTGGAGCACTCAATGGTCAAAGATTGAGCCTTTAATGCATAGTACGTTCCCGAGGGCGAGTCCAAGAATTCGAGTGCTCGACATTAATGAGAAGTGATGGGGTAGCACTCATTATGCTAGATGGTGAATCCAAGATAGTAAATACTTGGATGAGACTCTAGTTAGGTGAGTCATCATTGTGTGTTAAGGTATAATTACCCCTATGGATCTAAGACTCAGATACGTAATCTGAATTCACGACATGCTGTACACTTCTTGACTAACTTAAGCATCAAAGGGGATTAGTTGGGTGTACACCCAGCCATTTCCTAACTTTGCTGAGTGTTCTTGTGTTCCCCATTTGAGTTTGTGTGGAAGATCGCTATTTCAACCCATTGCAGGAAATCACCCGTGCAATTTGGCATCGTTAGTGGGAAATTTTTTGGATCAGATTTTCTCATAGCGATATGCAATGGTGAATACACGATCTCATAGTGAAGTAGGTGATAGCTTGCATGTGAGAAATGTGGGGGATATTTTGCTCCTTGCAGTCACGAAATCTCATTCCTTAGATCAATCAAATGGTGTTCGGTGCACTTCCTAGAACACACTTCCAGTTGATTAGACCTGGGGGTCAAGGAGTCCTAGCCCAGGAGGTGATGGAATGGTTAGAGGAGCGGGTAGGTGGCTGTCTGAAGCAAATCAAACAAGACAATGTCAAGTCCTCAATCACCTCAAT